AGCATTTGGTCGTCTTTCTAATGGTAGTAATTTCATTGCACAACATTCAATGACCTCTTGAAAAAATACTAAGATATGCGACCCATGCTTTTTGGGATGGTCAAGTTTGACAGTTTTCAACTTTTCGTAATAATTCTTAAAAGGAGATTAAGTAATTAATAGATAGAGCAAATCTTACAAGAAACAACACCACTTTTTTCTTTTCCACTGCTTCTTAAATCTTCCAAAATAATTTCTATGATGCGATCGAATTCCACATTTAGTCAACACAAATCTCATAGAACAATGACTGGCAAGCAACTCGGGTATCATTCGATGCAGCTTTTTGTCCTCTCTCCAGTAGTTGTTTTTTGTTTCCAATTTATAAAAATTTCTGGGGATAAAATCGAAAAATCACTTTTGAACCCAGGCTGCTTCAAAAGCATATTTTTTAACACGGAATTTTCGATGCTAATTTGAAGCGGTTAATGATCATTTGGTTTGAAAAATCACTTTTAGTTCATAATCCCCTTTTGAAGTTTCGAATTCCGAATATTTATCTGAGACCAGCCTGCAAAAATTCGATGGTTTCAATAAAAAATCTATCAAATATTTGATGCGAGCTTTCGAGAGAAGCAAAAAATTTGCAATTTCCTGTAAGGTTTGCTCTATCTTACCATAACCTAACTCCTTAAAAGCATTGTTACAAAAATTTAGAAAAATTGTGAAAATTCACCATACCAAAAAGCATGGGTCGCAGACTTTGGTAGTTCATTGAATGTTGTGCAATTTACCATTAGAAACAGAATTAAACGCTGCATCGAATGCTTTCAAGATCTCTCGAAAATCTTGGTTTCACGAGATGTGGCCATTTGAAAAAAATCGACATTACTTTCCGGACAACCTATTACATCTCATATCAAAAGGCTACGGTATCAGTGGCTCCTTCATGCCAAGGTTCTGAAATGAACAAAACAATCTTAAAGGCATAATCAATAATGCCCAAGGATTGACTTCTTCGAACTTCATGCAATATATACACTTTCGCTTCGCCATAGGATTAAAAGCAATTATGAGGCGTGATCTCACCAAACCGGTATTTGGAGCTACCTGCCTCTTCAACAATAACGGCAGTTTCAGAAAAAAAGGATTTCACCATTGATTCAAACAGTTTTGGTAATTTACAATGTTTGCTCACGCTCACGCGTTTGGCTCTGATCTCAGTCAACATCGTAAGTATAAAAGCGGTCATTTTTGGTTAGGTGATACTCTTTGAGCTTCTCTGCCAAGTAAGCTAGCCGAATTCTTGGTCAGTTTGAAGATTTGTTATGACCAACCAACAACATTCAGAAATGAGAGCCTTTATTTTCGCAACTCTCTTGGTGGCTTTATGCTATGCAGACGATTCTTCCTTGTTCATCGACGAGCTCGAAGAGCTAGTCCCCAGCATGCAAGATAAGAATGAACTCGAAGGGCTTGAAGAAGACGAGACCATGATCCGGTAATACTTCCCACTAAGTTTTTCTATTACTCATCCAAATAATTCTATAGCTATGACAAGAAGAAGAAACTTGATGAGATATTGGCCAGACAATCGGAGGATATCAAGGTTGGTTATAGATATTCTAGGTCCTCTCATAATCAAAGGGTAATGATTCCATTTACAGAAAGCCTATGCAATGCAAGTGGAGCGTGAAAAGCTCAAACATCGGGAGAATTTCGAAAAGAAAATGGTAAAAGCCACAAATCCAGCAGTGAAGGAGTACCTTCAGCAGATCGAGGCAATCAACAACGACTTGAGCATTTCTGAGCAAAGTGCCAAAGAAAAGATAAAAAATGTGGGTCTGACGACGTTCCCACAAGTTTGATGTTGAACGAGTTTCTTTAAGCTAAAGCTGAAGCTGAGCGATGAGAAGAAGGAAAAAGCTTGAGGAAACGACACGAAGAAGATGCTTGAAGAGCGTCGAACTAAGAATTTGATGTTTGTGCAATGCATGCTTGATAAAGCATTCGTTAAAGGGTCTGAAATGTATCATAATCAGTTAATGGCCGGCGTTCCCAGCTATAGTTTGTGTCAATTCACTTTGTCGTCTTTAGCGTACATACTTCCGCAGTATGAAAACCAGAAGCACCGGTTGTTCCTCGTTATCCAAAGGCTACGGTAGCTTGAAGCTCGCGCTGCCACAGTCGTCTCCGGACTTCTTGCTGGCGCGAAGCCAACAAAATGGCTATATATAGCGGAGGTTTGCTCGTCCGTCCATATTCGTTTATTGATAATTTCGTGTAT